TTTCTCCGAAGAGTGGCTGGGCTGTCCCTTAGAGATAGGGTGAGTAGCTCGGTCATTCGGGAGGGGCTCGGAGTAGACCCGCTGCTCCTCCACATCGAGAGGAGCCAGTTGAGGTGGCTCGGGCATCTGGTCAGGATGCCTCCTGGACGCCTCTCTGGTGAGGTTTTCTTGGCACGTCCAATCAGGAGGAGACCTAAAGGTAGACCCAGGACACGGTGGAGGGACTTTGTCTCTCACCTGGCAAGGGAACACCTTAGGATTCCCCCAGAGGAGCTGGCCCAAGTGGCTGGGGAGAGGGAAGTCTGGGCCTCTCGCCTTAGGCTACTGGCCCCCCGACCCAACTCCGGATAAGCGTATGAAAATGGATGGATGGATGGATGGATGGATGAATGTAAACACACGGCTGCTGACAACGAGAGGGGCTCCATTCAGTTTATGTCACATCAGAGAACATCTTTAGTGTCATTTAAAATGAGCAAACAAAGCATGTTGTCACACTGTGTGAAATACTTGTTTACATTTTCAAACATGAAAACATAACGTGAGTGGTTTCATCAATCTGTAAGAGCCGTGTGGATGCCTCTCCTGGATTAATGTTCATCACAGCCTCATCTAGACACGCCTGTGAAATTGACAGTGAGAGAAACGATGTTCGCACCTTATTTTTCATGTAGGTGAGATTAGCCAGTCCATCAAGGTATGTAGGTACTGTAGGGGTTTAGTTCCAGACAAAAATGAGCAGAAAGATGTTTACTTTTTAATTTGAAGAGATCAAAAGATGGTAGCAAACCTCTACGGAGCATGATTAGAGCCAGATGTGGGAATAAGGGGTGCATTTCGTTTCATGAAATGTGCCGCTGTGAGTTGGTTGAAAGAACACTGTTTTGTTCGGGTTCTGGAAGTTTCTACTTACTAGTGGTGAGATTTCACCAGAGTGTCGGTGGCGCTGAGCTGCAGTGATTTGAAGTTAGGAATAAACTAAAAAAACTCATGAATGTCTTGTTTTGCACCATAAAACACCACACCTTATTAGATAGCATGCTAAATTAGAGTGGGGTGGGGACACAAACCGAGTGGGGGGAGGTTCAGTTTGGAGATAGTTCTGGAAGTTTTGACCTTAACAGCAGCTCAGCAGAGCCTTAGCCCTTCCATTCACCAGACACAAAAGCATCAGGAAACGGCCACAAAACAGACAACGTGGCAAAAAGCTGCCATTAGAATGGACGAGTTCCTGTTCATCGACAGCAAAGTGTAACATTCTGGACACGTCCCAGAAGTGAAGGGAGACTGTAAGTAGGTTTGATGTCTAATTTTATGTGCTATGTTTCTAAAACATGTCAAATGCTGCAGTTTAGATCAGGCCAGACAGGAAGTCTAACACAAAGCAATGTAAAATTTTGGAAATTTTCAAATTAAAAGTCACACAATTTCCTGCTAAACCCCCCTTAGATGTAAACAGAACAAAAAAATGACACTGATCGTTGTAGATACATGCAGCTGTTTTTCTCCTTGCTTGTTATTGTGTGGACTTCTGAAATCATGCATGGTGTTGTAGTGGCGTGGAATGTTTTAGCTCCTGTTTAATGTCTGAAATGCTCTCGGTTGGTAATGAGCTCACAAATACAACGCCGCCATTAGGTTATGCGCCGCTTTCTCGTCCAGTGGAAAGAAGGGGTAATGCTTGTGTATCTGTGTCAAGCCGGTGTTGTACCTTTTTCTGCAACCATCATATTCCGTGGCTCAATAGGGGAGCGTGATAGAAAGGGGGTTGGGCATTTGAACTGTTTATTTTCAAAATTCATCTTTAATTTACAAGCATTCAGGTAGAGGACATGATTTCTTTGGTTGATGTTGGGACACATCATTCTGGCTCAGTGTCAGTTCCCATCTGATTACATGGGGTGTTTATTAATGTGGTGATACTCATACATGTGCTTGGATGATGCTAACTATGCTAACAAAGAAGTGGGAGAAGTTTAAATGTCCGCCACGTAAAAAAAGGTAGAATGACATTAAAATTCAATGGCTTCATTCTGACGGATGAAGTAAATCTGAATGTATGGCATGCTGTCTAATCCATTGCAGAGAGAAAAAAATCCAATTAATGTTCTGATCCTACTAACTAAACGTTTCCCCTGCATGACTGGATGAAGCTGAGCAGGGTAAACAGTGGTGCAGCACTATGACATGAAAAATAAATCACATTAAAACACAAGGATTGAATAAATCAGGCAGAGATGAAGCACGAGTCGCATAATTCCTGATGCAATTTCATCTTTGCCTTTGAACTGTGTTGGCACCATTATACAGCGAATAATCATTTTAATGTCTGCCGTGTGAGAAAAAAAATCACTGGTGCATTTTCTTCTCCTGATGTTATTGTGAGCTTCAGAAGGATGACCTTGTTTGATTTATGTTGAGCCAGCCAGAGTGGTAACTTCTGTCAGGAGGGAATTATTTACTTCACTTTTATTTCTCCAGATCTAAGCTCCAGCCCTTCACTAATATGATGACTTCTCAGTCACTTATCAGAGGTATTAACACAAAAATTAAATAAATTTAAAATGTAAACAGAGGCATTGAATTAAAACAGAGGTGGTGGTGAAAAAATGTGAATGCATCAAACGAGAGCATCTTTTCAATGAAGCAGATGTAGGGAAAGCTTTCAGACTCAAACCATGATTTTGGTTTTGTTTTGGATCCAAATCTGGGTAAGTGACCTAAATGAGATTTTACTATCTGGTCAAATGATCAAAACGTTGTTAGCAAAAACTTCATTAAATTTAGATGAAACTGAAACAATTACATCTTACAAAAGTCCATTCATTTCAGTAGTTCTACTTAGACTGAGAGACCATCTAAAGGCTCAGAAACCCTTTACTGATGTTTTAGATTCATCAGCTGATTAGAGTGTGACACTTTAAGCCTACAATATTAAACCTTTTCACAATATTCTAATTGTCTGAGATTTAGAATTTGGGGTTTTGATCAGCTGTAAGCCATAATCATAAAAATTATAACAAATAAAAGCTTGATGAAATATCTGGCCTTGCATGGAATGTCTTTTTCAAATATTAGTTTCACCTTTTATCTCAAATTACTGAAATAAATTAACTCTTTTACCCTATTATAATTTTTCCACCTCAATTTAATCTCCTCGTCTTATATGGAAAAACAATTTGACCACAAACGGAACCATATGACTTGTATTTCCTGAAGTAAAAAATTCCGCCAGTTTGATCAAAGAGAAGTATCTGAGCGAAAAACCTGCAGAGTAAAAGTACTTTTAATCTCTCTGCTTTGAATTGGATTGAGTCTTAATGCATCAAAGCAAAGAAAGACCAGCCTGCAGGAAGGTTGTGCTTCCAAGTATTGGAGCTTGTATGGTTTATTTGTTCAGTGCCAGTCTTCCTTTAAGCATATGGATCTTCTCCACTGACCTTTGGTGTCTTTGTGCTGCAGGATCTCCACAAGGCAAGCTGAGATTTTTACGCGCTTATTTTATGTTTTAACAGGGAATGACTGCAGTGGAAATGAGCAACACAGTTTAATGTGTGGGTTGCAGGAAATTTTTCACTTTTTTCAAAATGATTAGATTAGATTTTACTGAGATTTTTTTTAAACACATCATATTTTTGTTGTCATCATACAGCTGAGGCACTGAATAACACAATTATTCAAAACCTTATTTTGAATAAACATTTAACCCTGATATGTCAGTAAATAAAGCTCTAAATTTGACCCAAACTTAGGCCTAGTCCACATGTAGCCGGGTTTTTAAAAAAAACGAATATTCGCCTCTCCAAAAACTTGCATCCACACCACCTCGTTTTAAAAAATAAAACTGTGTCCACACGTACCCGGATAAATACGTTGTTAAGGACACGCCAGACCTGTAGGCGGCAGTACTTCCCCCGTTCTTAACCTCGTCCTTCGTCTGTGGTCTTCCACAAGGAGCAGTAATTCTGCTTGCAAAAACAAACAAGCAGAAAGCGCTTGGACAATTGATAAAGCGAGCGCAGCTTTGAGGGCATCCATGCTGTCGGCTAGTGTAAACACAGGTCACACACGTGATGTCAGCATTTTTTTGTCGTGGAAAGTGACGTTGCAGACCTTAAAACTCTGGTTTTGTCTGTCCACATGCAGACACCCAAAACGGAGAAAACGCAGATCTTCACTTTGGCCGTTTTCGTGTGGATGACAGGCCAAAACGTAGAAAAATATCTACGTTTTGGCAGATCCCCGGCTACGTGTGGACAGGGCCTTATTCTGCATGCTCTAATGTAATGTGAATCACCACCTAGGGGGACTTGTTGACTCTAGAAATGTGTTTTATTTTAATCTATTCACCTGTAATGTTTCCCTGTCTATCTGTAGCCAGATGCATTAACATATTCTTACTTCTAGCCTGCAGATAATCTGAATTCAACTGTCGTCCACTATTCATAAAGTGGGCGGTTTGTTTCTAGCCTCCAGTTGTGACTCTTAAAAAACACACAAAAAGGAGAGAACACCTCCAGCGAATGTCAAAACAAGCCAGAAAGTTTCACATGTGGTCATATGCATCCAGCCTAAGTAGGCCAGCGTATCCGTGTGCCTGAGTGTGAACGAGCTCTCGTGTATTTGTTTCTCCTTGTGACGGCGCTGGTTTCGTCATATGGCTGCGCGTGGGTGTGTTTGTGTGCACACAGACTGAGATAATTCTATGTTTCTCTCAGGATACTGCAGAGGCAGTGTGATGTGTGGAAGCGTGTGATACTGTGTCATTTTGTCGATTAGAGAGAGAGAGATATGTTGCTGGGCGAAATCCCATCAGAGTTTCCTGTCAACACAGTGGTGTTGACATGATGTGTGTGTTGTTCCAATTTAAAAGGCAAATAATTATGACTGGATATTTCTCTGGAGAATTCCTTTTTAAAGCTAACCCTGATTTCATACTCCATCCTGCAACACACATTTCTAATTGTTGCCCCTGTGTCCTTTTTTCTTCTTCTCTGCAGGACAGGGAGCTGATGCCGGGGGAGATAGATGGTGAGATGTTTTAATGGAATGATTTCACAATAAGTACATTAAATATTAACTTATTTTTCTTCTCTCCTGAACATTTTCATCTTGTTGTAAAAATAACCAGTAAATTTCAAAACTTGCCACTGTTGCACTTCATCCATAGTTGAGTCATAGAGGAAAAAGAGCCCGATCGGAAACTTGTAAATCTCTATATAAAGAACGGATCTGCTCTAGAGGTCGGCCGATATATCGGGCTGATTTATTTAATTTATTCTACATCGGCCATTGGCTGAAATTATTTTTAGCAGCCGGTTAAAAAAATAAAAATCAGGCATCTGTGTGGCCAACTGCCGCCACTACTAGACTGAAGAAAGGACCTGACGGACCCCCAACACACCGTTTTTCTAAAATAAATAAATATTAAGAGACTTTTTGACTTATTTAATTTGTTTTGCACACAGTGAGTTTTCAGTTGTCTTTCACAAGCAATGTGCTGCTAAAACATATATCGGCCTTAATAATCGGCTTTGAATATCGGCCTTCAGCAACAAAATTCTTTACAAGTCAGTATCGGCATCAGCCTTAAAAAAAAACATATTGGTCGGCCTCTAATCTGCTCCCGTCTTCCCTCCCAGTCTGATGTGGCCAAAGAACCTTTAGAAAGAGGCGACCATGATGTGCCTTCAGATGACGCGCTTTATTTCTAAGGCTGAGCCCAGCCACCCTACAGAGGAAGCTAATGGCGCAGTTACACTATGGTCAGCTCAGTCTGGCCCTGGTAGGGTCAGCGCATTTAAATAGTGTTGTCCGTGTGGAGCCGACCACTTTTTCCGGCTCTGCTTCCCTGCACACCCACCTATGGACTGATTAGCCGGCTGAGGTTTTATCACTTTCATGCCTTCCTACATAGTGGGAGACTCTTACTGGCCTGGTGATGTGAGTGTGAAATGGACAAGCGCTTACCCTAGCCAAATGGCTCCCGGAGGATCCTATACTTCTTCTGTGCTTTAACCTTTGCCTGGTGACACCTTCTCGCGTGTCATAGACAGTTTGTTCCCCAAAAAAGAGCCACAGTCCATGTACCTCAATGTCCTCCATTGTTTTGAGCCATCCTATCCCCCATTGTCTCAACTGTGCTCACGCCCGCTTTTGTTTACTAACTTGTCGCACTTTCGAATGACACCACAGACTTCTAACCGTGCTACTTTAGCGGAGCCCGCCCATGTCTTCGCCCACGTCCCCGTTCCTGAGAAACACAACCTGGCCGTGGAGGGGCGAGCTGTCCCCACCCGGCCCAGGCTGAGCTTACCATGTGTAAATGTGCCATAATTTCTAATTCCCTCATCCCAACTACAACCCACCCCAGTACACATTGAAGGTTCTTGTCACTCTGCGAGCGCGGGAGGATTGGACCCAAAATGCAGAACACTACACAACTCAAGGCAGGAGAGGTTGTATAAAATAAAAATCCTTTTATAAGGAAAAACAAAACTGCAGGACTCTAAGCCAAAAATCTAAAGTTCTAAAGACAAAAACAAAAGCTCACTCATGAGCCAGGATCTATAGGTCTGTAGAGGACAAAGCAACGCTGACACAAGACAATGAACCGACAACACATTGAGACGCAGACAGGGTTATGTACACAGAGGGAACATGGAGGGTGTCACATTATGGGAGGGATGTTGAAACCAAATTGCAGAAACCCAGGATGACACGAGGCAGGAGATGATGTGAGGTAAAATCCTTTATTTTAAGGTGAACCAAAAACCATGTAAATCCAAAGGGGTGGGGAGCCAAAATCCAAAAACGTTCAAAATCCAAAAACTAGTGATCCAAAAACTGAGACACAAGAAGTACAAGTAAAACTAGAGACGAGGAAACTGGAGACTGACAGAATACTCACACTGACAGCAACAATGGACCGACAAACACAGAGTGACAAGACAAGGCTTGTAAACAGGCACTGGTGGAATCAATTAACAAAATGGGAAGGGAAGGAGCTTGACCAGAGGGCAGATAAACATTAACCTATAAACACAAAACTAAACCTAAAGACTGGGGGCCAAAAACAAACAACTAATAACTAGACAGATGAGGAGGACTAAAGATGATTAGGAATGGGGAATGATTAGAAGGACACCTGAGGGAAGTCTATAGAGGGCTGGAGATAAGACAGGTGAATATACTTATCAAAATGGGAAAACAGAATCTGAGGAGGGCCAAATAAACCTAAAAACTCTAAAACACAAAAACTAAAGCTAAAGACTAACACACACACACACCATCACACACAAATGCACTAAATATAAACAGGACAAACACACACACACAGAACTGGAGCAGCACAACCGCACACACACACACACACACACACACACACACACACACACACACACACACACACACACACACACACACACACACACACACACACACACACACACAACACTGAGCAAGGACACAGAATGTGAATAAGACCTGGAGGGGCTGGGGAGGAATGAGATGACACGGGACCTGTGAGGAATAACTTTACAGGTTACAACATAAGACACATAACCGAGACGAAGACAAGGACACATGAGGGCGCTATGAGACACAAAAGGGAACCTGGAGTGGGAACTGGAGGAGCTGGGGAACAAAGGGACACAGAACATGACAGAGGGAAGCAATCAGGGAAACAGGTGACGGGTGTGTGGGGAGTGAGATCAGAAGGGATCAGGTGAGAATAATTAACTGAGTGGGGAAACTGACTAGGTAAACTTAATCTACTGAGAACTAAAGATAAGTGAACTAATAAACCTGAAAACAAGACTTCAGAAGAAAAACATTAACAAGGATGGGATAACTAAATCTGAAATCACAAAGGGGGGAACCTGAGGAAAACCTGGAGGGAGCTGAAGACCTTAGGGGCACAGAAACCTAAGGGGAAAACCTGGAGTGGGCTGGGAAACACAAGGAGGCACCTGAGGGGGGGGGGGGGGGGGGGACGCAGACAAGGAGACACATGAGGAACCCAAGGAGACATATAAAGGGGAACCTAGAGAGGGCAGGAGAACACAAGGAGACACATGAGGGGGACGCAGGATGCAGAACATGACAGTTATGGCTTAAGTCCAGACCACACTGCAATTTTCGGCTATGAGAATTCCAGAAAAATCATCTACAGTCCAAGATTTCAAAGAGCCAAACTGCACGATGTCTCGCTCAAGAAGGATGAGCTAACATCACGAGCGAACCCCCGAAAACCATACAACACTAAAAGCCGAGAGCTAACAAAAACAACAATGCTGAAAAAAGAAGCGCTGTCGTTAACACTTCTTGTTCCTGCGTGTAGCTTCCACTGTTGCTAATGTTGCTAATGCTGCTCTCGTCCCTAGCTGTTCGCATCAATCCCTTGGTGGATTTTCATTGGTCAATTGCAAACGGAAGTCGTCGGGTTTTCAAGCTGTGCTTGAAGACTGTTGGAGGCTGGTTGTGAGGGGGCTCAATAAGCTGTTGCAGAGTTGGTCACACTGGATGGCCTCAGACTTGCCAATCACCCTCATGTTCACCATTTTTTATCACGATTCTATTCTCAATGAGAGATTTATCTAGAACAGCCAAAAAACCCAGTGTGGTCCGGGCTTTCAAGACACCAACAGAATCACATCATCTGCAAAACTGTAAAGCTTTCCATATAAATGACTAACAAATTGTTTATGGTAATGTTGTTATTAACACTTTATAAGTCATTAATAAGTGTTATGCATTATTTAAGGGTGATAAAGACAGCACAAATGTGGCTCACTAATTTGCAAGACACTGACGGAATTTCTCTCGCTCTTAATGAATGCATCATAAACACTTGTTAATGATTTATAAAGTCTTTTTGCCTCTAAGGGTGTGCTCACAGGCCTTTTTCAAGTACGAGCTCCCGTCCACTGTTAAACAACAGAGAACAGTGATTTATTAAAAATGCTGATATTCACGTGGATTTCATGGTTGGAAAAACTATTTTACCTGATGTATGGTTTCACTGTGGTGTTTGTGCATGTGTGTCAACCAGAGCTGCAGGAGGCCTTTAAGGAGTTTGACTATGATGCAGATGGATTCATCCATTACAAAGACATTGCAGACTGCATGAGGACCATGGGCTACATGCCTACAGAAATGGAACTCATCGAGATCATCCAACAAATCAAGATGAAATGTTAGTAGTCCTCTCTCGGGCACGGTGTGCGTGCATGGCTTTTTATTCCCCTCCCCGGGGGTTAAAGCATGCATGCCTGATTGATGGGTCTTTCTGAAATGAGCAGGTGTAAAAGTGAGTAATTCTTCTGTGCGTGCTGAATAAACCCATGTGATTGTGCTATTTTCTGCAAGTTCGCAAGGATCTGATATTTGTATTTGGAGTTGGGGACAGCCAGGATCTGTTAGCATATTGATTAATGGACCTCCTGCTGCAGGTGCCGGAGTGTGTATGAGCTAGTTTGTGTATATCTATTAGCTTATAGACTTTCCTCTAGTTTTTTTTCTTTTTTACTTATTTTCTCCTCTGGACTTTTAATTGTGTCTGATTTTCTTCCTGAAGGAAATATAGTGTGTGGGTATTGCTTCAGTTTTAGGATGAGTCAATACTGCAACTAAAATCAAGGATTCAGCCTTGAGGGATCAGAACAAACACCTACCTTAATGCCGAGGCCTTACATAAACCTGCAGAGAACATACTGGTCTCAGACAATAACAGTATGCACGTTTTTCTTATGAAAGTTTTTTTTCTTGCTTTTTTGTTAAAAATCTCATGTTTTCATCACAAACTATAGCTTACTACATCACTACTTGTCACACCCTGTCCTATCTCCCCATTCTGTTCAGTCCTGTGTCCTTGCTAATTGCTCCCACCTGCCTCACGTCTTCCAATCACTCCGGGTCCCAGCTCCTCATGTATTTAAACCCTCTAGGTTCTGTGTGTCTCGTCGGTTCATTGTTTTATGTCCAGCGTGTTCCTGATTAAATCCTTATTTTAATCTGCCTGCCTGCTTCTTCCCCTGCATTTGGATCCTCACCTTTGCTCACCACACCCACACGTTGTGACACCACTAGTCATTAGGCCAGTAAACAATATGCAGAAGACCAGGACTAGAATTATGTATGGGCTTGTGTGGGAGCCCTCATTAAAACTCTGTGAAAGTGGGGGGAGTTGTCAGTCTGATCACCTTCATTAGAGGCGTGTTTTCACTGTCTGAACTTCAGCGTAAATTTACTGGTACTTCCGTGCACACACGTGTCTTCACTTCACCAGGATGCCCAAACGGTTGTTTTCCAAGCCATTTTCAGGAACTTTAGGAGTACCTGATCAGGGGTAGGCACTCGGCCCAGCTGAGTGAACTCAAACTGATGGGTTGTAAGTCAGCAGGAATTGACATCAGCAGACGTTGTCCAAAACAACTGGTATTAGAGATGATCATTTGTAGAGAATGTCTCCAAACAAAATTAGGAAAGCAAGGCTAAAAATCCTACCTACTGTCTTGCAAAAATGCATTATTTCACTTAACCCTTTGATGCATAATGGTCACTACAGTGGACAGGTATTCAAAATTGTTATTTATTTATTTTTGCTATTAAGCACAGCTGTTGAAGACTTTATTGCATTTGAGCCCCTCCATTTGGACTTCAGTAAGTCAAGCCAACATATTTCATGTTCAGAATGCACGCTGTCCACTGAGGTGGACATGTAATAAATTATTTGTAAATTAACAAAATATTACAAAAAATAATTGTTGAAATTTGTTTCATTCACACCTAAAAATGAATGAAAAAATTGTTTAAAAAATCATGGTTGAAGATCTCATAATTCAAAACCAACCTCAAAGGGTTAAGGAATAAAATATTACCATCAAAACATATCAAGAGACTGAATATAATTAGAACTTACAGAACCACATGAATCAACCCCCCAGAGTTATGAGATGCATCTTTAACTTGTCGGAATAATGTTCCACTCTTTAACATGACCTTTATCTTTCATGTGGAAAAAACTTGTGGTGACATAAATTCACATAAACATATTAAAAATATTCCTAAATCCCACTGGGGACATGACATTTACATGTAATACAGCAAGTTGTTCTTGTAAAATCAAAACATTTTTGTTCCAGACTGATTTATGAAGCCCAGAGATAACATGTTTTTATATGCATTTCACATATGTCACATGTTCACAGCACACCTTTTTACATAAGATTGTCACATGTGAGGTTTATGTGGTTAGGAGGAAGCGCACAAGGTAACCAATGGCTTAATATGGTGGTTAGCTAAAAGATAATAGAGGTGATTGGGCCATAAAGTTAATGTGTTATGTAATTAAACCAAATGTTGCACCCTCTGTTGACCATTAAAAATAATTCAGGTTTAAAGTTTCAGTTTTTAAATCCAGAGAGAAAATTGTTTATTCTCAGGTTTCATCTCATTATCTTTACTTCCTAGTTTCATACAGCAGGTTATTTTCTTGCATGTTCATTATCTCAGTTTAAATTTAAATTAATAGAAGGACAAAAAGAGGAAAATGTGCTTCTAGAGGGAAACAACGTATTTTCTTTGATCCATATGAAAATGGATAAACTGAAACTGATTCCAGAGTTGTACAGCGACTTTGGGATGCTCAGCATGATAAGTGCCACTCCAATTATTATTTAGTGGTAGTATGAGCCTAATGCATTATTAATACCGTTTATCACATCAGACAGGTACAATAAGAGAGCAGCCTGCAGCCTTAGTGACCACAATGGCATTCACCAGCTAAAGTGAACAGCTAATGTCAAGCCAGCTGCATGAATAGTCAGCTCAGCCCATTAAATGGCAAAGATTTACCTGGAAATGTCAACGGGGCCCATTTAAATGCTGTTGTGGTGCTGGATTTCCAGCAGCGCTTAAAAAATGCTAATTACCCATAACCTGAACAGCTCAAGCACAAGTCCTATTTTCCCCTATCACTGTTCAAACCTGGAAGTAGGCCTGCCAACTGTTGTTAAACACAAAACACAATATTATGTTGAAGGCCAAAAGTGTCTGTCGGTTGGAGTTACTTATTTGTTGCACTCGGAAGCTCTCACGTGTGTTGTGCATGTCAAGAAAACACTGCCCTGAAAATTTTGACTTATTTTGTCCAATAATTGGGGATACAGCATGAAACTGGCTTTATGGGTCTTTTGATAAAGATTCTCATATTGAAAGTATACGAAATTGTCCCCTAATGTTACTTTTATTAAACGGGTTACTTCGTGTGGTCTCAGCTGGTGTTTAACTCTTTGTTTTTTTTTTCTCTCTTACGGATGTCAAGTCACCTCAAAGTGGTATTGTGGTAGTGCCACGTTCACACAGAATTTGTTGCATGCACATTAGAGGTGTAATGGTATGTAGTCATACTGAACCATCTCAGTTCACACAATGGCGACAGATGCAGGACTCAATCACACGAAGAATACGATAGTCACGGTCGATCACCGCTCTCATCTGTGAAGTATTGAATCGTAACTTACACTTAGTGTCACAGCTGTCTGCCTCAGCGATGTTTAGCATAACGTGAATTACCTTAGGCCTATTTCTTAGCAGAGAGTTTGACTTGAATATAAATGAAAGCACCGGGTTTATTAAAATGTTAAACAGAATCGCATTCAAATTGGAATGCAGCCCTTGAAATACATCTATACATTTCTCTTTTTTCCCAACTTAAATCATCTGCAGAAAAATAGATAATTTGAATATAAAAGGTTTTAAAACTAAGAACTCTATAGATAATTTGAATATAAAAGGTTTCAAAACTAAGAACTCTAAAAAAGTACGCACTAACCATAATCTAAAGGTGTTTTCAGCTGAACGAAATCTGCTGCGATCAAGCTAACAAGCAGTAACATTTATACAAAGTACTGCCTACTCCACTAATTACAGAGAACAAATTAGGACTCGTGAATAAGCTGGTGTGTGTGTGTGTGTGTGTGTGTGTGTGTGTGTGTGTGTGTGTGTGTGTGTGTGTGTGTGTGTGTGTGTGTGTGTGTGTGTGTGAAACACTCACACCACAAACACATCAGTTTAGTTTCTCTGAACCTAATGAATCATTTAAGAAACCACCAGGGAAGTGCTCAGAGATACTGAGATGAGCTTTGGTAATAACGTCATTAAAACCTCCAGAAAGAATGTCCTCACTTAATATTTTAAAGAAGTTTCTTTCTGTATTCGAATAATTTTTTCATGTGAAGCAGCAGCAGACTGCAACACACAGGCTGCTCTGTACCGGTTTCATTCCTGTGGGCTATAGCATGTCAGTCTCTCACAACCTATGGAGTGGAACCTTCTGCATGCTTTGAAAAACACCCTGAACATCCTAATAACTTGTACATGATAATATAAGTTGGTGTTACACCCCCAGGAAAACAGTGCAGAAAGCAACACAGAGCAGCAGTTCTACAGTGTAAGCATTTTACCAGATGGAGATCCTGTTCTTCAAGAACAAGCGTTTCATTACTGTTAAATAATTAATATTTTTTGAAATGTGAAGGCTTTACTAGTTAGACTTTAAAAACAACAAAGAGATACCTTAATCATTGTGTCAAAGAAAGGTCTTGCAAATGTACAACTACTAGAACTTTAGCTTGCAGATCAATTTTAATTATTGCTTTTCAATGTTTTGTCACATTATTTCTTAAAAAAACACAATGAATTACAGAAATACAGAATATGAACTTATTATATGAGAAAATGGTGAAGAAGGTTCTGCAACCCTACAAGGCACTCTACAACACTCTTATCCATCTCTAAAGTGTTTGGTCGGTTTTAGTCGACTGCATCTCTATGTGTTTCGTCAGTTTTAGTCAACTACATCTCTAAAGTGTTTAGTCAGTTTTAGTCAACTACATCTCTAAGTGTTTAGTCAGTTTTAATCAACTGCATATCTGAAGTGTTTAGTCAGTTTTAGTCGACTGCATTTCTGAAGTGTTTAGTCAGTTTTAGTCGACTATATCTCTAAGTGTTTAGTCAGTTTTAATCAACTGCATATCTGAAGTGTTTAGTCAGTTTTAGTCGACTGCATTTCTGAAGTGTTTAGTCAGTTCTAGTCGGCTACATCTCCGAAAGTTTAGTGGGTTTTAGTTGACTACATCTCTTAAGTGTTCAGTCGGTATTAGTCGACTATATCTCTGTTTAGTCAGTTTTAAT